CGATGCTAATGGTGTTTCTATGATCTGATACTAATGCTGTTTCTATCATCGGAAATTACTACAGTGGACCATTAGTTGTAACCCAGAGCTATATGCTAATGATGTTTGTATGGTCTGAAATTACTACAGTGGACCATCAGTTGTAACCCAGAGCTAGATGCTAATGGTGTTTCTATGGTCTGATGATTCTAATGGTGTTTCTATGATCTGATGCTAATGTTGTTTCTATCATCTGAAATTACTACAGTGGACCATCAGTTGTAACCCAGAGCTATATGCTAATGATGTTTGTATCATCTGAAATTACTACAGTGGACCATCAGTTGTAACCCAGAGCTAGATGCTAATGATGTTTATATTATCTGAAATTACTACAGTGGACAACCAGTTGCAACTCAGAGATAGATGCTAATGGTGTTTTATGATCTGTTTTTACTACAGTGGATCATCAGTTGCAATCCAGAGCTAGATGCTAATGGTATTTTATGATCTATATAGACTATATTGGACTTCCTATCCCTGAACGTGATGATGTACCTGATTGACTTGGTGTTATGTTCTCTGAATCATCAGCGAGCCCTTCATAAACTTTCTCACCAGGAGCGGGCAAGCAACATATCGGATTGTAAACGAACCACCTGCGTCCAAATTTAACACAAAGGTCACCATCCGAATCAACATTTATGACTTGACCAACTCTCCCCAAATACTGAAACGAAATAAAATCTAAAAGTTACCAAAAGACAATAAATATAACGAAATAAAACAGTTGTCAAGCACTTCGCTATGCTTGATTGTTCGGCGGGGCAAAGTAATATATCTGGAAGAACAATGATGTATGGTGTTTAGTTGCAGTAATGGAATTGGTGAACTGTTAGGACCTTGATCCCCTATAGCGTGGTATGGTAGCTGTATTCATTTAAGCAGTTCAAGCTTGATTCAGAAAATCCTGGATTGCTAATCCAATATATTATTTTGGAAATGAGTTTGATGCTAAAATAACAGAAATTGAAAAAAAAAATTGAAAAAACATACGCACGTGCTTCATGTCTTCGTTATAACCACCATGGCCGTCCTGGAGGTTTTTAACCTTTTCTTCATCATCTATAATTTTAACAATATCTCCTACGGATGCTCCTACGTTTAAATTCATCTTCTTATATGAAATATACCCATTCGATAAATTGATAACTTATTAAAGTATTTTCTACGAATTTGGGAATACCAAGAAACAGGTCACTGGTGGTTCGAGAATATTATTATGTGCCTTTGAATTCATTTACGTACTTGATAACAAAGACAACATAAAATTAGACTTGGTAATTCTACTTTCATTTTAGAAATATTTCCTTATTCAGACTAGTTAATACCAACGAAAAAACAGAAATATCAAAACTGATATCTACCTGTCTAACTTATTACGATTACTCATACATTTGCTTATGTAAGATCTATATTTATTATCAATGACCTCGGGACGGAAAAAAAAAATTTATTCTACTTTCACTGCCATAATTCTACCCCTTCTTAGATTACAAAATTTATTTTCCAGGCTAGTGTCCTCTTAAAGCCAAAAGAGGGAGCTGAAGTGCTCGGATGGTCCCCGGCAATGATATCCAATGAATACAATATAAAGGAACAATCCTTGGTAAATAGAATTGAATTCTCTGAAATTAGCTTGTCTTATTTATTGTTGTCAACTTTAAACTAGTGTAAGGTTTCTTTAAGAGAAACTCTCTTATAGAAGCACTGGCCTAGGTCAGAAGTAGGGACTGTGGATTTCAGCATTGGAATAACTAGATCATCCTTAAGAGATCTTTATTTTAAACAATACTGTATCATACATTCAAAGTATCACAAGCTTATGATTATCTATTAATGAATCACATCAGAGTTGTCTGAATTCTAACCCCTGTACCCTCTCCCCCCTCCTCCAACCCGCCCTATGGTCGATTAGACCCATTTCTAAATAAACTATTCCGCCCTCCCCCCAAAATTCATCAATTTGTCCCTCTGTTGCCTCTTGACCACCTCCCCATTCTCTATTTAGAGCCCACAATGGTGAAAATACAACACCAACAATAACATAATTTTATTATATTTAGTAATAACAAGATAACACAAAACACAAATTAGACTAATACAGTTATAGAAATATCATATCTTATAAAAATATTAGGTTTGGAAACGTTAAAGAGACAAATCCGCCATTTTTTTTTACGATCGTACCTTAGTCTCAGAAATTTTGTTCACACGTAGGCTACCGTCGAAATATGAGCCTTCAAATCCTTATTCGCGTTTGGAAGTTTAGAAAACGAGTCCTCTTTTTTTAGAGACACTGAAATATACGGTAATTAAACGATTAATAGTTCATCATAACAGTTAATAGGGATCGGTGTGAATCAATATAATTTAAATTAATTACAATGTCGTATCTTTTTTTTGTTTCTATGATATGTTTATGTTTAGTCTACATTGTAATCTAAGAAGTTTTCTACAAATATCCGGTTCCAAAGGTAGTATTTTATCCAATCAAAGCGTGTCAAAGTCTGTCATGTTGTTATACTTTAGGTGTTTGTGTTATACATCTCTGCAAACAAATAACAACCAACAGATTGGTACAAAGCTGAACATAAAGAGCAGAACGAGTAACAAGCAGCAACAACATGGCTAATTATACTAGTATTGTCATCAGCTAAATTTTATGTCCAGTATCCCGGTAAACCAGTAGTTCTGTTACTGGATACAACATTCAGCATTCTCTCCTGGGTTGCCTGGAAAAAATATAAAAACGAGTTTGATATATCACCAAAATCACGGAGCCATTGGTCACAACTTTGGAAAGGGAAATATTTATACGGCTTTAAGCATCGAAATCCTTCTTCCAAGTGAGATAATATCAGACCCTGTGATGGAATAGACACCAATTGTATATCACGTAATGCAGTGATTTAAATTGGATTGTACGACAGTGAATACAGTCAATCATTATAGCTATGTGTTCACAGACATTCTGTAGAGGCTTCTGATTGACTGTTGGCATACAATACAATTAATTCGCTCCTTTTTCAATCTTCCATGATACAAAAAAGATGACTATTGCAGTGAAGATATAAGTACGAAGTTCGTATTAGCTTGACATTGTGAAGAAAGGGGAAACTATTCATGTTAAAGAAAACTTACCACCAGTTGCGACTCTACGGAATATGAACTGTTCACAAACTGGGCATCTATTAGCTTTGAGGGCACAATCTCGACATAGACACTTGTGACCACACGGTACAAGGGTAATACAGGCTGGATTTCCTAAACATCGTCTACATGGTAACTCTGCAAAATTAGGAACAGTTCTTGTCGTTCCACTGTCAGAAGATCCAGTTGACTTTCCTCCGCGTCTGAAAAAAAAAGATTTTTCCTCAGGATTAACATTACTAGAGGGTCGACTTTGTTATGCGATAATTTCACCAATGGCGTTGTCATGTTGGTAGGGGGTGCTGGATCGGCTTTGGCCCCCCACTTTCAAATTTGTTATAATTTTACACACTGAAAGAATGGCCTGTGGCCCCCTTGGACACTTTTGAGGCCCCTGCTCGCCCATTTTTTAGACACGCCACTGGTCATCCAGGAGTCAACGAATTTCAGATGGCCTGAATGAATTTTGAGCATGTATAGATGATGGCCCACTGTTATCGTCTTACCTTTGTTTTATAAACTCCGCCAAACTCCGTTTCATGTTTTCATCTGTACAACACTCTAAAGGCGTTTTGTCGTTCACATTCTTCAGATCTGTCTTAGAGCCATTTTCTATCAAACACTTCGCTACTTTGATTTTCTTCTCGATATCAGAGCCTACTGATAGACCCATCATAGCAGCAAACTGAAATATTCAAAATGAGGTAACATTATGACTTAATATTATAATGCTTTTAATAAAAAAAAAATTAAAGGGATTGCAAAGAGGTTTTTTAAAAATTGTTTGTGTATCGGGAACTGTAACCACTTCAGATCAAGCCGTATTCTTTATTTTATCCGTACTTTTAACTCCCATATTTATGCTTATTAAGACTCTCTTGAAATCTTCAGCCAATCCTTAGTTTTTTAAATGTAAACAAAGCGCCATTTCTTCAATTTTCAATCAGATGACGTCACTAATCTAAACTTTAAACTAAAATAATGCTTTTTACAGCAGAGTGACTCGATAAGTAAAGAAAACCATTAAAATACTACTTTACGTTATAACAGAGCGACTTGTTCAGTAAAGAAAAACATAAGAAACACTGAACCTATAGTACATCGTTCAGTAAACAAAACCATAAAAACACTTCACGTTACAACAACAGAGTGACTCAGTCATTAGACAAAACTATGAAAACACTACGTAACGTTCTAACAGAGCGACTCGTTCATAAGACAAAACCACAAAACACTACGTAACGTTCCAACAGAGCGACTCGTTAAGACAAAACCACAACACACTACTGTACGTTACAACAGAGGGACTCGTTCATTAGACAAAACCACAAAACGCTACGCAGCGTTCCAACAGAGAGACTTGTTCAGACAAAACCACAAAACACTACGTAACGTTACAACAGAGCGACTTGTTAAGACAAAACCACAGCACACTACTGTACGTTACAACAGAGGGACTCGTTCATTAGACAAAACCACAAAACGCTACGTAGCGTTCCAACAGGGAGACTTGTTCAGACAAAACCACAAAACACTACGTAACGTTCCAACAGAGTGACTCGTTCATTAGACAAAACCACAAAACACTACGTAACGTTCCAACAGAGTGACTCGTTCAGTAAACACAACTATAAAAGGCGATTTCCACAGCTATAGGTGGGTCAAAAAGACCATTGATTGTTAAAATTTCAAACTTACAATTGGTTAAATACTTACTTGTTGATGAGTGCCACTACTTGCCTCATTACAACAGGTGTGCAGAGGGCTATTTTTCTTTCTGTCAACAGCATTGATATCGGCATCTGTAGCAGATGATAGAAAATAATATGAAAGTATTTATCTTCAGCAACATGACAATGTGGACCATTTTTTGATGAAGATCCAATGCAATGAGTATTGTAACAGATATATCTGATGCCACACTGTCGGTTGGTATGTTTATCACGTGGTGCACAAACATTTCACTGTTGTAAAAGAAGTTTTTTTTTCTATTTGTTCTATTTTCTATTTTAAGAATATTTAGGCATGGAGACATGAAAGCATTGTTTGTTTAGCATCTTATTATAGCCCATTCGATGTTCTATATTCTTCCGATCATTTACTTACTTTTCTCAATCAAAAGCTGTAAACATTCCAAATGACCTTCTCTAGCAGCTAACATAAGTGGCGTGATGCAATCCAGGTTTTTGCTGTCTACATCTGCGTTTCCCTGGAAATAAAAAATGAAGGTACCACAATATTGACCAAAAGGAGAAGGGGTGGTAGAAAGTGATGTTTGATCGAATATTTTGTATTTTGTATCAAAAAGTAAGATTTTAATGAGTATACCTTTTCAATCAGAAGTTTAGCACAGTCTGTATGGTTGTTTACTGCAGCTATATGTAGAGCTGTGAATCCTTGCGGCATTTTAGCGTTTACCAGCGACTTATGCCCATCTAATATTTTATCCACAGCACTTTGATAGAAAACAGAAAACAGAAAAGGCAATAAAAACATGGAGCTGACAATAAAATGAAAAGAGAAGATCAAAAGTTCTTATTTCCGTGTCATTTCTAGGAAGTTTTAAACGAGGGGTTGTGGAATTTGAACCCACAAAGCCTTAAGAAGATTTACAGGGAGATCATTCTCACTGCTTTGGGTTTGCAAACTTTTTATCGACTTCGAGATAGTATATGTTTAATCCAAAGCGTACATACACATGTTCCTTTCTTTTAAATTGTTACGACGTAAGAGTAAAAGAAATACAAATTAAAATAAAGAAATACAAATTAGATCAAAAGCTTTTGTAGAAAACTTACATTGCCTGGCCTTTTAAAGAGGCGTGATGTAAGGCGTTGAAAGCCTTTATATTGACAATTTCAGGGTTGGTTTCTTTACACAGAATAGCTATGGCGTCTTTACTTCCAGTTGCTATAGCATCATGGAGTGCAGTATCACCACTACAATCCTACAGAAGAGAAATGTGGATGGAGATTGGGAAACATATGTCACTCTTGTTCGATTTGAATTTCGTTTTTATGGTTTGAACTGACGACTGTTGATTGTATTATTTCTGTCACTTTGTTGGACGACAGCAATGATGATGCTGCAGATTATAATCATGAAGTGCTTGATGAAGCTACGACGACGTCGATGATGATTATGCTTGATGACACTACGGGAACGATGACGAGGATGATGATGCTTAATGACGCTACGGCGACGACGACGGAGATAATGATACTTGATGACGCTACGGCGACGACGACGACGAAGATGATGATGCTAAATGACGCTACGGCGACGAAGACGGGGTTGATGAAACTTGATGACGCCACTGCGACGACAAGGATGATGAGGTTTGATGAAGTTACGGTGACGACGAGGTTGATGATGATGCTTGATGACGCTACGGTGACGATGAAAACCTTCATGTTTGATGAAGCTACGTCGACGACGATGATGATGATTGATGATGCTTTATGATCCTAGATGACGCTACAACGATGTCGAAATTGAGGATGATGTTGCTACAGCTGATGATGATGATGTTTGTTGATTCTACCATCTCGGCTGAATTAATTTAGCCAATGAAAAGTAGGACATACCTGTAAATTGACGTCACAACCATTGCTGATAATCATCTCCACCAATTTACTGTAATTAGTAGCTGCTGCATAGTGTAGAGCAGTTGTACCTTTATGATTGGCAATGTTCACATCAGTGCCTCTTTCAATCAGCAACTTTCCAATAGCTGGCTCTTTGCTACAAAAGAATGAAAACTTTTTAGGTATATTTCTGAAACATTATACTGTACAGTGTGCCTTGTCGTTTTCTGATATTCACAACATATTCAAATGATGATGACGGAGGGTAATAGAAGCTGATAATGATGATTTTTACTCACCCGGCTATAGCAGTCATTAATGGTGTGTCACCATCCTTATCAACTTTATTAACATCTCCACCCTTGTTCAGCAGTTCTAATACAATTTCACGATGGCCTTTATTGCTGGCTATAGAAAGAGGGGTCAAACCTTGATGTAGTGTGTTCACCTGAAACCAAACTCACGGGTATGACGTTAAATTGTTTAAGACAATCGTTGGGGGAATGGTAAAACAAACTAATAACGATGGATTAAATACAATGTTAAAGATGATGGTTTGGGATGCCCGGCATGCATGCCTATATTTAAGTCCTCAACTTTTGATAAATGATGTATCCATGCAAACCACACATCTTGTAAACCAGAGAAACAGTGTCTACTTACCAATCCCGGGTTATCAGTCAGGACTTTACGAACCGTGCTTATATTATTTTGAACTATTGCAATAAATAGGACTGGGGTAGACATCGATTGGGACCTCGTTTCAGTCAATCCGCTTTCTATCATCATGTTCATAAAAGCATCATTGAAAGCTGCAACAAACAGAATTCAGTTTGACACGAAATTTCGAAAATGAAAGAGAAACAATATAATCTATATATACATATATTTCTATAATCTGAAATTACTACAGTGGACCATCAGTTCCAACTCAGAGCTAGATGCTAATGGTGTTTCTATGATTTGATGCTAATGGTGTTTCTATAATCTGAAATTACTACAGTGGACCATCAAGTGCAAATAAAGAGGTAGATGCTAATGGTGTTTCTATGATCTGACAGGACTATATTGTTTGTTATATCCCAGACCGTGATGATGTACCTGATTGATTGGGTGTCATGTTCTCTGAATCATCATTGTTCCCTTCATAAACTTTCTCGCCAGGAGCGGACAAGCAACACATCGGATTGTAAACGAACCACCTGCTTCCAAATTTAACATAAAGATCACCATCCGAATCAACATTTATGACTTGACCAACTCTCCCCAAATACTGGAACGAAATAAAATCTAGAATGAGTGAAGTTACCCAAAGACAATAAATGTAACGAAAATAAAACAGTTGTCAGGCACTTAGCCATACTTGATTGTTCGGAAGTTGAGAGAGAGAGAGAGAGAGAGAGAGAGAGAGAGAGGGGGGGTGGTGTTGGTGGGGGTGACTGCAAAGTAATATATCTGGAGGGAGAATGGCGTATGGTGTTTTGTTGAGGTAATGGAATTGATGGGTTGTAAGAATCCCCCCACCCCCTCTCCCTTGTAGCATAGCATCACAGTTGTATTCATTTGAGCAGTTCAAGCTTGATTCAGACAATCCTGGATATCGTGGATTGCAAAATAAGTTATTTACGAAAATTACAAAGTTGTGATGCTAAAGAAATAGAAATTGAAAAAAAAATAATTGAAAAACATACGCACGTGCTTCATCTTATCGTTATATCCACCATGGCCGTCCTGGAGGTTTTTAACCTTTTCTTCATCATCTATAATTTTAACAATATCTCCTACGGATGCTCCTACGTTTAAATTCATCTTCTTATATGAAATATACCCATTCGAAAAATTGATAACTTATTAAAGAATTTTGTACGAATTTGGGAATTCCAAGAAACAGGTCACTGGTGGTTCGAGAATATTCATATGTCTCCATATACATTCATTTACGTACTTGATAACAAAGACAACATAAAATTAGACTTGGTAATTCTACTTTCATTTTAGAAATATTTCCTTATTCAGTCGTGTTTATATATAGACCAAGCTTTATGAATCGATAAATAGGTTGTCGAAAGGGGTATATTATTGGTTGTATGAGACCTCCCATAAAACAAAAATGTCAAAACCAATGGTACCCACAGACTTTGAATTGCAAAATAATGGGGGAATCAATTCTAAAAGCAGGATTTAACTTAGCCACACTACACCACTTGTCAAAACTGTTGAAGCAAGTATGAAGAGTAGGCCTAGTCTTACTTTCGTGTTTTTTAAAATACTTCCTCGTCTATGTAAAATCATTTTCATGGGAAAGGGGTAAAGAGAAAATCCTTGGGGATGCCAACGAAGTACTCAGTGGCGGAGCCAAAGGGGGGCGGAGGGGGAAGCCGCCCCGAGAGCAAAAATCTCACAACTATAGGTTAGAAATTCGCCCAATTTCAGATATTTCGACCCCTCGCCCCCCTCGGATGTAAACCTGGCTATGCCAAAAAACCAGGAGTAGTATACCATATAATGTGATGATAACAATGTAGCCTAAATTGTAGAAACGGTGAAACTGCTCTCTTAATGGCGGAATCTCAGTAAACAATATAATTATTTTTTTAGAAAAAAAGGAGGGATGAAAATGAGAAATCCTGTTTACCAGACAGAATTGGCTCTAAATCTCTTGTCTTCAGAGATAAAAACTTTGAATATATTGAACGACAGATTCTTACTTGCAATGGTTTGGTTAGTTGACAAAATAGAAATGTCAAATCTGATATTTACCTGTAGAATTTGTTACGATTAGGCCTACTCGTAATTCGAGTATTTCACGCCACTGTTCATTGTGAATAGGCTATAATATAAAGGGACAATCCTTGTAAATTCGATCAACGCGATTAAATTCTCTGAAATTAAGCTATATCGTGTAATTTTCACAAGCACAGTGATCATAAGGGTTAATTGTATTCAGAATACCTTAATCTCAGCTAGGCCTCCTTATATTACTTTTCAAAATAAAAATACGACGTATGATCGTCTACAATTCATCAACAGATTTGTATAGGCCTACGCCCACATGGAAATGTGGACGATTATTATCGTCGGCCCTGTAGCCTAAGTCCGCCCATCTGTCCGTTTTCATTTCTGGTAGGCACAACAGAGGCTGTAGTTTTCATCCTGTGTTGATGAATCTCGGTATGCATGTATATAGGCTATTGATGAGATTTTGGTCAAGTTTGAACTTGGTAATAATCGAGTGAACGGTTTCGGAGTTATTGCCCTTGATTTTGTAAAACCGCGTCAAATTTGGCTTGTTAGCACGATATGGTTTGGAGACTACAGTTTTCTGATTTCTAGCCAGATGTAGTCTAGTCATACAAGACCAGTGTGTTTGCCCTCGCCTTCATTTACGCAGTTTATTTCTCATTAGCCTAATGTAATAGAGGCAATATATTTTAATTGTAAATATTATTTATTTTAGCCAGATATTATTTTTACTAACATACTGTCATCACTTTTCAATTTCAGATCAACTGAGTGAACTCTTCCTTCCTTCACTCACTCAGGCTTATTTCTTCTCATCTTTTTCTTTCTCTCCATTGGTCTGTCCTTAGTTTCACCATTGTGTATATTGGTTACCCCTGGATTGTGACTATTTCCTATAGTTTTGTTTTCATTAATTTTATATATTTCAAAGTGGAAGGTGTTTCAACTCCCTTATTGAAATATAGAAGGATCCTTCAATGATTTAAATTTGTATTTTTCATTTCAATTTGGATATCATTGTGTCTAAGGATTTATTTGTATATTTGGTAAGTTAATCTTATTTGGTATTTCTCTTTTTGTTGTTTATTTTGTAAATAGGTTATATTGGCCAATTTCATTGCCAAGTAATAGCCATTTTGGATCCATATACATATGGGTTTCTGTTTTTGCATTAGGTACATTTTTATAAAGCATTACGTTCATCACAGTAATTTCCTTAAACTTACATTATCACATTTTATTCCTTTGTAGACTAGACCTCAATTGTTGAATTCAAGCCTCTAGCTTGATTGACTCCTTAAACCCCTTTTTGCTTAGGGTAGGCTAAGTCTTATTGCATTTTTGTATATAATTGTATTACGCCATTTACGGTATATTTTGTTTCAAGACTGTTTGTATAGTTAGTATTTCTAGTTATTATTTTAATAACAAGATCAAGGAAAATAGTTGTATTATAGGGTTTATATTCAGGTATTATTGTAGTAATTAATATTCTTCTTTTGAATATTTCAGGGTTTTTGTTAAGTAATAAAGTTTTATCAACCCATTTGGATGTGTGGTTAATTTGCCTACCCTAATTCCTGACCACCCATATCATACATAGGCCTTCATGAGGGCTAAGCCTAGAAAAATACCACAACATGATTAAAATTTGTTCCAAAGTCGGCTAAAATGCACAAAATTCTTATTGTGTGTTAGCTTAGCCCGTGGTCAACATTTCGTTTTTCTGAGAGCGTCGTCTGCTTGTTTACACCGGAACTCTCTATACCATAATGCAACTGGATAAGAGTGGCAAGCAAATAAAAACCGAAAGTGAATTTTAGAATAAATAATAAATTGTAAGTACCGTTATATAGAGCCTTATACGTAGCACAGCTAAGTTGTTTAGTCAGGGCATTTCATGTTGTAAGGCCTAATGCACGGACACTCAGAACAGTCTAAAATGAATAGAAAATAGGCTCAAACTCAAATAAACTAGCTCTTTTCAAAGGTGAAAATGCAGTTTACTATAAAAATAAAATAGACTCTATATTTGATCAAAAGTTAACATTGTAATGTAACATTTCTTGAACTAAGCACAGGCCCTTGAAGCTCTGTCAATAATGATAAAATATGGGCAATGTGGAGAAAATAGTGTCAACGTTGAAACTGTCATATTTGATTAATATTGACAACTTCAAAGGCCTGTGTCACAGTGTGTGTGCCATTACACTTATGCCAATATGCAATTTTTTTTGTGGGACTGGAGTGTAATGGTTTTTGGTTGACCTTATTAGTTTTAATTTTTTGGGTTTTAGTCTTTGCCCCTGTGTTTCTGTCCACAATTGTTGTTAAGAGCTGGTTATTTGGATTTTTGTGAGAGTTTGTAATCACCCAAAGATGAACCTTATTGAAAATCAGACTGAACAGATAAAGAAACTAATTGGAATATTAACTCAAATGTCCATAATGCAAAAGATAATTGTCAGAAAACAACAACCTTTAGCTTCAGCACGAAGGATTGTTTGAGTGTCTTTCATGTTATTGTAATGTGATATTGCTAGGGCTGTGGATTGTAGCTTAAAATCGTGTTGGGATATATTGTGATACCGTACATCTCTGTATAAATATCATTGAGTTGAGCTCTTTTTTATACGCCCACATGAAATACAGAGCTTATATTGGCGTCATTGACCATCAGTATGTCTGTCTATCCACAATTGTGTGTTAACATTCTAAAAGACACAATTCTTGACGGATTCTGACAAAAATATGTTGTGAGTGTTTGTTATCACCTAAGATGACACGAGTCGCCCATGTTCTTGAAAACGTGTTCAATTTTTAGGGTTTCGATAACAGAATAGGCAGCGACAATCTGCAGGACATACTGAGTACGACAAGAGCAAACAAACCTCAAATTTTACATGTAGGTTGCACAGGCCTGTATTAGAGACTTGGTTTAGCATTGATTTACTGGCACAATATTTTATGTCGTAACTAAAAGCCCATGCTAGACACCATCTTCTGTTGGTAACAATGTAAGAATTTAGTTCTATGCCAACTGCTATAATGGCCTCGTAGATCTAATCAGAAAGTGTTTAATTTTAGAGAAAATGACAGATATAAAGTCAATTCTGTATGCTTGGTGCGGTAAAAAGAAATGTGTACCAGAATATGAATTTAATTCAGTTGGCCCAAAACATAAGCAAAGATTTAAGTGTGAGGTAAGTACAATTTTTCTGTAAGCTTACATATATTGAAAATTCTTGAATTAATGTAGATGCGTATTTTAGTCACTTCTGTTGGTTGGTCCATCCTCAATATCTTTTATCTATATCTTTGGTAAAAGTTTGGATTTCTCACCCTAATACCATATAACGTTAATATTTTTCTCACAAAACCTGAGATATTTTAGACATTACAATAAATGGTCTAGACATGACTAACAAACACAGGAAATGACTAACAAAACACTAGACATGACTAACAAAACACGACTGGGTATCCACCAGCAAATTGAGATTGGTTACCGATGGCAAACTACTGATTAATAATCGAAATAATTCAGTTGAGAAACCCTGTAAATACTCAATTAAAAACATGCAAAAATTCTGAATTTCATGTGTAATTTTTGTGTCATGGAAGTATATTCTTGCTTTGATCGGTTATTATAGTTTATTGTGGGTATGTGCTGAAAGGAAACTATGTTGAAGAGATTACTACTTGTTAACGGGAAAATGTAACTTTGACATATATAATCCATTATGAAATTTGATAATCGATAAACGAAATTATGAATTCCTAGCAACGATAATTTCAATAATTTTACCTACATGACTAGAGTGTATAGTATATCTCTTTTATAGGTGAGAGTAGAAGGGTTTGACTATATAGCCGTTGGAAATTCAACCAATAAAAAGGATGCCCAAGCTAATGCTGCTCGAGATTTTTGTCAACATTTAGTAAGACAGGGTTTGATGGCACCAGCTGAACTCCCTGATTTTGCTTCTGTAAGTATCCTTTGATATCTGAATACAGAAAAGGTGAGGAGAAAAAAATGGTTGATACAGATCTGTTAAACACATTATACAATCCTAAATCTTCCTTGAATGTCTTATATAAGTTCCATATTTTGATTTTTCTTATGCTCAGATTATAATGTGCATTATCTTCGGCCGTAGACATAGAGTTTCAAAGACATAATGTGTCAGGAATTGAAATGAATAATCTCATCCATGGTGGGATATCACCTAGCTATATAAAGTTTTTTCTTTCTTCCAACACACCAGAAGCAAGATTAATTCATTTCTTAATTGCTTCCGTTAGTGTATGTTGAATTCCTGTGAAGCTATGTTACCATATTGTCATTCTTTTATAGACCTTATCAACCATATTGAATACAGAAACAAACTTTAAAGCCTCCTTCTATAGTAACTTTCAGATTAAGTTTACCATCATTTCTGAGAAAGGGCAGTTTCCTCGCTGTTTATCGGCTGTTCAGTGGCATCACATTGTTTATTCATTAATATGACGTCACATTGGCTATTCATTAATATGACGTCACATTGGCTATTCATTAATATGACGTCACATTGGCTATTCATTAATATGACGTCACATTGGCTATTCATTAATATGACGTCACATTAGCTATTCATTAATATGACGTCGCATTGGCTATTCATTAATATAACGTCACATTGGCTATTCATTAATATGACATCACATTGGCTATTCATTAATGTAACATCACATTGGCTATTCATTAATATGACGTCACATTGGCTATTCATTGATATGACGTCACATTGGCTATTCATTAATATGGCATCACATTTGCTATTCATTAATATGACGTCACATTGGCTATTCATTAATATGACGTCACATTGGGCTATTCATTCATATGAACCTCGCTTTCAGTGTCTAAAAAAAAAAGGCGCTAATAAGACTAATTATGTTGTGTTATATTACAATTAAGCTTAATATTTCCAGGCTCCTAGTGTGTTTAAATCAGAGGGAGAAGCAGCACCATTACCAGGTGGACGACAGGCCCCCCACATTGGTTTAGAATTGGGTAAGATTGATTATTACAATGTAACTGTTAAATATTGTTCTGTGAAGAGGTCAAGAGATAAAATACAGGATTGTCTTGTCTTCAGATTTTTTCAGATTGTTTATTTCTTTTCATGTGAGAAACTCTAAATCTCATTTGCACCATTCCATTTCCCTGCACATTGGCTGTGAATTTTGAAATTTTTAAAAGCTCCACCAGACCATCAAACATGGGCTGAAGTATTTATTGACGTATGGTATTAGAACACCATGTTAAAAAGCCAAGTGATTTTCTGCCATTGGCAAATAAATTTCCCTTTTAAATTGGACTTCTGGCTGTGCATTGTAACTGGTAGAACAAGAGTTAACACAATACACTAAAGCAGACTATCTCAACCTTAGTGATGGTTGCAGAATTGAAATGTCAGTTTAACTCAATTATTAATAGTACCGGTACCTGTATATATAGAACAAAAACAACTTGCAGCAATTGTGATTTCTTGGACAGGGTAGAATAAACCCAGCAACTAATTGGATTCTTGCTGCTATAGTTACTATCAGTGGGTGAAAATTCAGTTTCTCCCAGAATCTGCCAGGTCCAGGGCAAAATTTACTTGACCTCACCATATTCCTTTTAACAATTTTTTTTTCATTTGTTAAGGTGGGCCTAGTGTTTCTCAGCAAGGTTCCATGAGAGAATTTCCACGTTATGAGCGAGGTCCACCACAAGAATATTTAGATAGATTAGCTGATGAAAGAAGAGTAGCTGAGGTATATACTTATATAGATTGATATTTGCTTTGAAATCGAATCCATTTTTCTACAACAAGCCGATCATAGATCAACAATCATAGCCTATCAATTTGTCCCAGTATTATTTCCAAAAGGCGCCAGATGTTGTATCCTTACTCTTGTAGACACCTGATAACACTTTTCATTATGAAATACTTAGTATATTTCTTCATTAGATTTTACCAATGAATTGCCTAAATTTTGATTTCTGGTTTCTATTCTTTGTTCTTGGTTTTTATTTCTTGTGCAATTTGACAATAAAACTAAGCAAATTGGTTGCCAAAGATAAAAATAAATGATAGTTTGGCTGCAATCTTGAATTTCCTGAGATTTGTGTGTCAAATGAGAACATGTAATTAAAAACAACATCAGTTGATATTTTAATTTCAAATTTGCTTTTTCCCCAATTTCAGGTTGAAATTTAGGCAAAGTTTATAGGCTTGCATCTAGTGACAATATTGTGACAGATTTGGACCAAATGATTAGTTATAACTTAAGGGCCCTACAGAAAACCAAAACAAGTGTGAAAGATGTGTATGACTAAAAGTTAAAAATTATATGGTTAAAATTTGTTATCAATTATTTTGTTTATACTTCAAATTTCAGTCAGAAGATGTTGATTTAAATGCAGATCTCCATGGCAATTGGACATTGGAGAATGCTAAAAGTCGCCTTCATCAGTTTTTACAGATGAATAAAATACAGACAGATTATAAGTATAATGTAGTGGGCCCTGATCATAACAGGTAAGATTTGGGATATTCTTGGCATAAGTGGCTGGTGAGCCAACAATTTTATAACTCACACGAAATTACCAAATACCATCCTTTAATACCCAACATTTCGTCAAAAACATTTTGGCATCATCAGGAGAAGTGTTATCGTTTATTACTCTAGTACACATCAAATAAATTATTGTACAACCAGTAAGTGGTATTTGTGATCCCTTCATAAAGTTATTGCTGCCAGCTTTCTTTCTTCATTTTGGAATCACCACATGAAATGTGGAGCTTATATTGGTGTCAACTAGAAATGAGTGTTTGTTATCACCCAAGGATGAACCCTATAATAAATCAGAAATCATGAAATAGATAAAAAGTAGTAAAACACTGTAAATTGATATAAGTTTATTATCTGTAAACTCTGTAAACTGGTATTAGTTTATTATCTGTAAAACACTGTAAACTGGTATTAGTTTATTATTTGTAAACTACTGTGGACTGGTATTAGTTTGTTATCTGTAAAAAAAACTGTAGACTGGTATTAGTTTATTATCTGTAAAACACTGTAAACTGGTATTAGTTTATTATCTGTAAAACACTGTAAACTGGTATTAGTTTATTATCTGTAAAACGCAGTAAACTGGTATTTGTTAAATTATCTGTAAAACACAGTAAACTGGTATTAGTTTATTATCTGTAATCTGGTATTAGTTTATTATCTGTAAAACACTGTAAACTGGTATTAGTTTACTATCTGTAAAACACTGTAAATTGGTATTAGTTTAATTATCTGTTAAACACAGTAAACTGGTATGAGTCTATTATCTGTAAACTTGTATTAGTTTATTATCTGTAAAACACTGTAAACTGGTATTAGTTTATTATCTGTAAAACACTGTAGGCTGGTATTAGTTTATTATCTGTAAACTGATTTTAGTTTATTATCTGTAAACTGATTTTAGTTTATTATCTGTAAAACACGGTAAACTGGATAAGTTATATTATCTGCAAATATTATAGACTAAAAAAGCTTTTCTTAGTTATATTTTGGGCAATATAAGTCAAATAGAATGAATTTAAAACCTGAAGAGATGGTGAACTAGCTGTAATGAACAAATAACCAGTATGAAATGATCACTTCAATGTTTAGTTTTTTAACATATGGTTATCATTGAAAAAAAATATATATAATCCTTTAGTGGCCCTTGTATCTTGATATGTATAGTATTGTGGCATGAAGAGCAATACCCTGCACTATTAACAATTTCTCAATAAAGAAAACTATTTTGTCCAAAACATGTAAACCATGCGTATGCTTTCCTTGATCATTGTGGCTAGATTTTATATTGGAAATAGTAAAACATATCTTTTTCTGTGATATCACTAAATTTGATATGGAAAATGATACTTCATAGTATTTGTTGATACAGGTTATTTGTTCATTGCAAGTGGTTTATGGTTAAAAGAAATCTCTTGATGAGTCCAGTCTTTTTGAAGGTAAGAGTACCCAAAAAATAATGCTGAATTATACTGATTGGTCCCTGAATCAAGTCTGGGGCCTGTTTTACAAAAACTTAATTTAGAGGGATTTTAGTATTCTAGTAATCTGATTGGCTAATAGCTACAATCCATTTTAATTTCCACTTTTAAAGCCAATCAGATTACTTAATTTCTTAAAATCTTGTCTGTAATTCAGTCAAAAAATTGTTAAACAGGCCCCTGGTATGTATCCAATGAGTATTGCAGGAATTTCAATAATTATTTAGTTTAATTGAAATATCGTCTTATATAGAGATTCTATTCTTTAGTCATGACACCTGGTAAGTCTAACTGATGAATATATACACTTGTTAATCAAGTTTAAATTTCATGTCCATTCTAAGAGGTAGTATTCTTTATAACCTACTGAACCATTTCCCAACTCTTGAATTTCAGAAGTTTTCTAGCTGAAATGAGTTTCTATGTAAAACAGTTAAGACAGAGTAAGTAAAACTTTTAAATCAATTTTAGATAGAAAGTGCATATATATATATATATGCATGAAAGCATGATCTTTTATAATGTTATAATGTCTGTTTTCCACTCTTTTTTGGGAGGTTTTTGGAAATACTTTGAAATTGAAACACACATTAAACGTGGGGTTTATATTGGCGTCACTCCTGTGACAGGAGTCCTGTCCATTCATCTGTCCGTCTGTCCACAAGTGCTCTCTAGAAGGCACAACTCTTGAAAGATTTTGATGAAACTTGGTATGAGTGTTATTAATCACCCAAGGATGAACCCTATTGAAAAGCAGAAAAATCAAATAAAATTTAGTATGAGTTATTGCCCTTGTTCATGAAATGCTCATTAACACTGTAGAAGGCACAGACAGATTCAGACAGATTCAGATGAAATTGGGTATGATTTTAATCGCCCAAGGATGAATCCTATTGAAAACCAGTGGTCGTATATTACGTTGTCTGGCAAGCTATCTTATTAAGTTTTATCCTTGTTTCTGCTTTTAGATATCCATTCCAAAGAGCATGGTTCCAATAAACAAGTAGCATCAAAATCTTGTGCTCTATCTTTAGTCAGACAGTTATATCATATGAAAGTGATTGAGGCTTTCACGGGTCAGAAAAAGAAAAAGGAATCTGAGCAGGTAAATGTATAAATCTTTGATCTGAGCTATGTATAGTAACATGAAGCACCTGTTAAAAAATCTTGAACTTTGAGTACCTAGTTTAGACCAGTTTCTCGATAATTGTCGGTTTCAGACAGGATAATCTTGACCACAAAAATCAATGTAATTTTTTTTGTAATACGATTTATGATAATTGATACCCTATCACGATAAACCTCTTAATTATTCAAAGCCTAATTGATACCCTATCACGATAAACCTCTCAATTATTCAAAGCCTAATTGATACCCTATCACGATAAACCTCTCAATTATTCAAAGCCTAATTGATACCCTATCACGATAAACCTCTCAATTATTCAAAGCCTAATGGATACCCTATCACGATAAACCTCTCAATTATTCAAAGCCTAATTAATACCCTATCACGTTAAACCTCTCAATTATTCAAAGCCTAATTGATACCCTATCACGATAAACCTCTCAATTATTCAAAGCCTTATTGATGCCCTATCACGATAAACCTCTCAATATTCAAAGCCCAATTCACACCCTATCACGATAAACCTCTCAATTATTCAATCAAGAAACTGATTAACCGTTTAAACACTAGATTAAACACCATGTTGGATATCTGTCACGGGACAGTGCCTTGAAATTATACTTCTATTGTTTCCATAAGAAATGTGAACAGACAGACAGGGGCGATGGCAATATATGTTCACATTTAGCTTCGTACTTAAAGTATTGAATCTTTTCAGCGGGTGCTTGTAATTAATTTGTTTTATTTTGTAGATACCTCCATTAGAAGTAGCTATAAGTGAAGAATTGGACTCTCACATCAATGATGTTTTGGGCAAATGGAATCTTCAACCAACCCATAAGGTGTGCATTCCTGATTTTATACATTCTCCTATTTTTTGTGTTAGAAGGTGATAAGATAATAGTCTCATAGAAGCACTGGCCTAGGTCATAAAGCAGTGGTTCCCAATCTTTCTCAGCCTTCATGCCCCCTGGAGCAATCACTTGGACATTTCACATCCCCACAAATTTGTTTCATCCACATTTCAAGCATGTGATGATGTGAGGGGCACTCTTAACTCAAAATAAATTCTTCTCCTACACCAGTTGGCCACACCTGACACCCTAATCCCAAATCCCCAGGGGTCATAAAGTAAAGATTTATGATAAAATAAGGTACAAGTTAAAGGTTATGGTTTTTGTGTTGTCTGTGATCACACGTCAGTAGTGTAGAAACCCTATATATAACCAAATCAACATCTTGATTTTATTTTTGTGTTTTAATTTTTAGGGAGGGTATGACCCTAGTGCTGCTGAAGATGGAAAAGGATTGTCGTTGTTATGTCCCTTGTCTTTGGATGAATTTGAGCCTGCTCGTAAGCGTGGTGGCGCAGGTGTTGTTTCATGGTCACCACCACAACCTAACTGGAACCCTTGGTTGAACTGTAATATTGATGAAGGCCCATTGGCTACGGTAAGTGTTTTTTTTTTTGCTTAGACCTAAAAACAAGGTCAGGTAAAACCTTTTTATACGCCCATATTATAATGTGGTTGTATATTGTTGTTGCCCCTGTCCGTCCGTCGATCCTTCCATCCACAATTAGCTTGTGACAACTATACAGGCTACATGAGATCTTGGTCAAGTTCAGATTTGAAGATTTTTTGATGAACGATTTTTGAGTTATTGCCCTTTACTTGTCAAAAACATGTCAAAATTTGTTTGTGAACACTATAGAGCCTACAGTTTTCATTTGATTTTAATGAAATTTGGTGTAATTATCTATTACAATGATATCTTGGACAAGTTTGAATTTGACAATTTTTCAATGAATGGTTTTTGAGTTATTGCTCTTGACTTAGGAAAAACATGTGTGATCATTTATAATGATGAGATCTTGTTCAACTTCAAGTTAACAATTTTTTGATGAATGGTTTTTGAGTTATTGCCTTTGACTTAGGAAAAATGCGTTAAAATTTGTTCGTGAACACTATTGGTTTGGCAGTTTATGACCAAATTTTATGAAATTTTGCGTGTTTGATTAAATCAACAATATCTTGTACAAATTAGATATTTGGTATGATTTGACACAGACTGGTGACCGACTTTGATATACTGAAAATTTATCAGGGTTGCTAGGCAACCACTTGTTACATATTGTTTTTGTCATTGATAATATTTGATGAAATTATTGACTGAAGTAAGAATTCCTAGTAGATCCCGAAGGATTAAGAAGGGAAAGTAACTGTTTGTAGTCATAAACTAAAGGCATTAAAACTAGATTTCAAACTTTTGATATTAATGATTTTATTTTTCAGGCCTCATTAGATGAAATTAGTCAAGATTTGTTTAACAATCTAGAAAGGCAAAGAAATGAAGATTCAGCTTTACAAACTGTAAGAATTGATGTTATAAGTCTACATTGAAATGTGAAATAAAATGGTCAAATTACCATCCTGAGCCTGTTGGTTTTCACGAGTGACTTTGCCTGATGAGTTTGTATAGCACTTTCATGTGTCTCTCAGTGGTATTCCCTCTGCAATTTGATATTTACAATTTAACATAATGTTTTATGGATTTCCCTATTATGATTTTTTGTTAAAAAAAAAGTAATAACAGCATTGTTTGTGGGAATTTTAGCCTGTTGGTGTATGGACATTTATAGTTTTTTCTTATTATGGTAATTTAATATCATTTGCGTTATTTGAAGCATGTAATAGGCTTAGAGAGATAGCAATTCACAAGTCCACATGGAAAATAGTTCTGACTGTGTGGTAAAGGCTGTGCACATTAAAGATCCCTTGACAGTTAGAAATCGAAAAAGAGCAGGCTCATTGTACCCTGCATGGAGTTGCCGTCTTCATTATCCCACATGGTGCAGAAAAGTAGGACGTTAAACTCCATTCATTTCATTTTTGTTCTAAAGCTGCCTTTGAAATTTGTTGATTTATAGAGCTGTTTTGTGACTTCTTGTCTCTGTGTTATTTTAGATGTTAGATGATAGATCTAAGTTACCAGTGAGTCAATCCCATGATCATATTTTACAAGCTGTCAATCAATCACCTATTATAGTTATTAGAGGTGAAACAGGGTGTGGTAAAACAACACAGGTAAGAAAACTATACAATAAGACCCAAGCTACTTTTATCTGCAGTTGAGACTGTATTTGTAAGAGTGAAAAAATTGCTCCTATTTTTGATTAAAACAACTCTATTTATCTACAATCTCTATTGTATTAACGAATCACAGACTGATAGAAAATTGAGCGATCTTTGCGCTTACGGATGCTGAATGGATCTTTAAATAGCAAGAATGATGCGAAGGTATTCGCAGATAAGATATTGCCCTGACATTCATTGGATTATGTCTTTACGCATGGTTAATTAGTACATATGTATTTAGTATGTCGTGTACTACAGATATAGTACAGTGCGTATATACGGAAAAAAGGAGTCTGGATTTTAGATTAATATAACGTGTAAGCTTGAGTATTAGTTTTGAGTATTTCTGTGAAAATCTATATCATTAGAAATAACTTAATAACCCATCCAGATGTAATAACATTGAGTGTTCTTTTCTCATCTCATCTTAACATATTGTTTTGTTCTTGATCCCTAAAATAAAATATTGTATTTCTCTCATTATATGACAAAAGCTTCCACAATCTTATAAAGAATTGGTTTTTTAGGGTCCAGAAAAACTTTTTTATACGCCACATTATAACGTTGTTTTAAATAATAAAACTTCTGTCAAAATAAGCCACTTCTTCCTCCGTTTCCTCTGGGAGTCCAAAACCATCACAAATATTATGTGGTCGTATATTGTTGTTGCCGATGTCAGTCTATCTGCCTGTGCACAATTGGCTCGTGAACACAATGGAGGCTACAGTTTTTATCTGATGTGTTCATCCGAGGCACTCAAAGATGTAGACGCGTATCCATAGAAGGAAATGTTTATTTTTCACAATTCGGACAGAAAAAATCAGCCAAAAGGCGAAAAACTCCCTTCCTCAACCCTTGCTTATGAGACCAAATAGAATGTCAACGAATTTTTAGGGGCGTCCACCGTCGATATCGTGGCACAGCTTCTTAATAGCTGATATCTGACCAAAAATATAAAACGAAAAAATTATAGCAGATCACACATCAAATATAGGTTGTATTACAAGCTGATTTGACAAGAATGCTTTCACCATCTAAAAATTATTTTTTTTATTGTAGGTTCCTCAATTTATATTAGATCAAATGATTAACCAAGGTCGTGGTTCAGAGTGTAATATTATTGTCACTCAGGTTAGTATAAGGTTTTATAACAGTTACTCTCTTATAGAAGCACTGGCCTAAGTAAAAGTAGGGGATTTCAGCATTGGAATACACCAATTTGATAGAAAATTACCTACTTCTAGAGGGATTTACATGATAAGCAAATAATTCAGAAATACAAAGTGATTGTTTCAGGGAGTTATAAAAGGAGATCTAATCTATCATGGACAAGAAACATAACTAAGATATTTATTCCTTTTGTAAGCAGTCACCGAACCTTTAGTATAGATGTTAGGGAATTCATTCTGAAGTTCTTAGTGTAACATACCAATATTATATACAAAAAGAGGAAAATAACATGAAATACCAAAATTTGATAGAAAGTGTATCCAATTTTCATAAAGATTAAATTTAGATTTGTTTATGTTATTAAATTTCAACTTTTAGGTTTATTAGAACAATTCCAGTAAAAAATCTTCCTATTTCAATTCCATTTTGGGTTCGAAACTTTCCTGGTTAAGCCTAATACCCTTGGACTAGTTTTTACAGGCCCACATGAATTAATGCCTTATAGAGTGAAGTTATGTATTCATATTCTATTTTAGCCCAGAAGAATCAGTGCCATATCCATTGCTGAGAGAGTGGCTAATGAAAGGGCAGAAAATTTGGGTATTTCCACTGGTTACAGTGTAAGATTTGAGACAGTCATGCCTAGAGCATACGGTTCTATAATGTACTGTACAGTTGGTAAGTATTAGCTTTGTAATACTCTGAAAGATTAAAGCTGGATTGATGCAGCCGATTTACTGTTATTTTTAAACCTACCTTTACCAACCTATTTTGATCAATCTTTATGGGCTGTTTTCTACAACTAATGGCTACAGAATAGCAATTTAACAATTTCCAAATTTTTGTACGTCCACATGAAA